ATTAAATATGACTCATACACATGTATACAGAGGCTGCAAAATAAGAGTGAAATACACACTCACACTGATAGATGTATCAATGCACAAAAAGAGACAGACCCGCGGAAACAACAAAGAAAGATTGACAGCAAAAGAGGATACATGGATGTGTGACCCTGGTACAAGAAAATGAGTTGTATTCCTCTGTGAAAAGGGAAAACGATGAAGACCGGGGATTTTTACGATCCGTTCACGCTCTCTGAATGTAAGAATAGAGAAGAAACGGCCAAGGTCAGAGTCAGAATTCCCCATTCTAATTCGAAGCATTGCTCACCACCCGGAGCAAGAGTAAAGGATTAATTTAGAGATCCATTCACCACGCCTGAGCAGTGGGGGAGAGACGGTAAATTGTGATGAGGAAGAGTGTGACAGAGGAGAGGAAACAGGAATAGGAGAGAGGAAGAGATTTGACAGGACAGCAGTGGAGCGGGATGGAGAGGAAAGGAGAAGTGGTTCTACTTGGACAGAGCAGACGGTTTATGTAGAAGAGCTTCCTTTTCAGTGTGTGTATCTGTAAACCTGCAAAAGGAAAATAAAAGATAGGTAGATAGAGTCATGCTCCCAGTCTCCATTAAGGGAGATGGGTTGGGACAAACAGAGGAGAAAAGAAGATAAACGGTCAGTTTTGATAACTGAGTTGAAATGATACCTGGGAAGAAACTGGGGGAGAGAATCTTGTGAAACTCACATCAGGAAAGATAATATGCAAAAAATTTCCTCAAAGGAAAACACTCTTTTACTGTGTACTTTTCTTATTGCCACCACATTCCTCAAAGAAAAAAAACCAACAATTCATTAGTCCATCTCTCAAAACTGTCTGACTTCCCTGGAGTCTCAGAGGCTCAGAGCCTGAACCCATTCATTTCAACCGATGACATGAATCTTTCAAATTGTGTCATAAATATATTATTACATTTTTTAAATAGGCCACTTAATATCCCCAAACAGACACTGCAGCTCTTTGCAAAGTTAAGTAAAACAGGAACAAAAATACAAAAACTGTTTATTAATCAGGGAATTTTTCTCAGTGACTAATGAATACTCATCAGAGTTTTGTTAAAAACAAACTTTAGAGGCTGCATTCATCAAAGCAGGAATCTGTCAGCCAGGCCAGGGAAATCGTGGTCAACACTTATTCACAATAAATGTCACGTCATGTTTGTGCAAACCATGGATACAAATATGTACATTAACAATTACAATTTACCAAAGCACTCAGTTTTAGTGACTGATAAGGACGCTCAAATTAGACCAATTAATTTCATGTCAGGTATACAATGAAAAGCAAAGCCTGAAAAAAGAGACTACAATGTCCTAGATAATAGTCTTGCAATTTCACCAACTTCTGTTTCTCCCACCTCCTGATTTTTTAGTTGACTAAAAAGGACACTATGCATGTATTTTGTATGAAAGGAGATGGTGAGATTATGCACATCCCTCAATATCCACCCATATTCATGGAATCCAAAGAATGACTCAGTTTACTTCGCTGACTTTTCATCAAGCAGCACTTTGGGAATTGGCACTTTCGGCTCATTTTCTATTCCTTAACAAACTGTCACAAAACTTGATAGGAAAAAACATTAATATTTCCTACAAAATAACTTGGATTATCCGAAGCACCCTCTTTGTTATTTTTTTTGTTACGTAATGGCTTCAGAACCGATGGAAATGTCATTCTTAAAGGGATTTGTAATGACAAATATAGCTGTGCCTTTATTCTGTAAAATAAAGCTTTGTTGATAACTAAATATTATATTTACTTTCAAATCAAAATGTTTGATCATGTTGCATTAAGTCATTATTGAATGTATTAAACTTACACTAAAGCACTTAACTAAATCTTTCCATGGAAGCCCTATTTTGTCAAATGGAATCATTCCTAGAAGCATCATTTAGCATAAACAAGACTTAACTGGCCTCGCTTAGTTCCTACAGGAACACTACCCTAGCCGGCACAAGTGAAATTAAATCATCAGGGTTTTACCCATGTTTGGCTGCACACAAATACACAGTTTTAACTGAACCACAAGTAGGTCATTGGGATTAAAGTTAAAATGGTAGAAACAGCAGTGAGTCCACAAAGAAAGAGCAGCGTACCCACTCCACACTGCCTCCGTCAGTCAGGCATCACTGCATGAACTCAGACTGAACAACACATGCTTGATTGCCTTATTTGCTCAGAAATGATCGTTTCTTTACCCTTATCCCATGCATTTACTCATTGCTAATACATCTAAACAGCTTCTGGTACGTTATAAGTAACCCAACCTGATGTGTTTCTATTGTGTACATTCCCACTCAGCCAGATTACAGGACTGCGTGCAGCATGTGATTATGTATGTGGGAGAGCGGTGGTATATGGACTATTAATTTCCCAATCATTGTAGGTTGTTGTAAGTAATCTATTCATTCATCAGTGTCTATAATTTAAGGAGGAGAAGGCAAACAATCCTGGAAATTGGATTAGAGGTTTTGATTTACGATTGTATGTGACCTGCATTTTGACACAGAAATGTCTGGCCTTGAGCATCAAAAGATGTTTAAATGTAATTCACATTTATGTAACACAACTTAAATGCAAGATTATGCAAAAGGGATTTTTAACATTAGGACACATTTTCTTAAAGAGGAACATTGTGTTTAGTAACATATTGATTTTGTCCGTGCTGCTCACTTGCTTGACTTCCTGAGCCCAGCTGCTTCTCCACCTCCACATCAAGATTAGCATGGGGATCCCCAGTTAGAAGCATTAACCCTAACTCACCGTCCAAAAACCTGAATGCTAGGATAATTAAACACTAAATTGCTCCTAGGAGTGAATGAGGTAATGTGTTGTCATTTGTCTCTGTGTGACCCTTTGATGGAATGGTGACCTGTCCAAGGAGTGACCCGCCTTTTGCCCAATGTCCAGCCCCACAGGGACCCTCCTAGGAATAAACAGTATGAATAATGGATGGATGGATGGATGGATGGAGATTGGTGGTACTTTTTAAATCATATGAGAATACACTGAGTTAATTTGCCTCCTACAAAACGACTTTGTTCAAACGATGAATCGTGCAGAACATTTTCTTTCTTTTTGGTGCTTTATCCGTGTCCAAAAGCATCAAATATGCTTATTCAGAAAACAAATTAAACCTCCATCTCCTGTCATTCAGAGGCATAAAAGAAACTATTGGCAGATGAGCAGCGGAGAATTGCTCCTATCTTAAGCACACAGGGAGAAAACAAAAAGCACTCTTACTGTAATATAGGCTTTCAGATTCAAGTAGCATAAACCAGTGAATCCACAGATGTTGGAAACCCTGCCACAAAACATCTATTTTGCAAATTGAAGCATCCAACTAAGCTGAGAACCATATCACACAGTCTGAAGAGGATATTATTATAAGTGTAATCTTGCATTTATAATTTCTATTTGAAATATCCGTGTAGTGACGAACTACAGAGTAGCATTATAAAAAAGCTTAAAAAGGGAATAATGAAGTAGAACTGCCTCAAAGAGAACTTTGTTGGTGAGAGCGAGGCTTAGCTTACATGCTATGCACTCAAGGAGAAGTCATTGAAGAGACAGTTTGGTTGACATTCCAACAGGTTCAGTAACTTGGGTCATGTTAGCATCATGTTTAGTATGGTGTATGTTTTTTAATGTAAATATGCTCTTGATATGCGGCTTCAAAGCCTAAATTTCCGATAAATCTGGTTGATCAGCGCTGTTTTTCACAACCCTACTCCTTAACACAGACTGCGTCTTCCAAGTTTCGAAGATCCAGCACGCCTGATGAAGAGGAATGGGCCTTCATCAGCCTCCTGCAGCACTAAAACAGCATGTGTTGTGCAGCAGGTTAAACTACTGGAAAAAATGCAGGACAGCTCGCCTTGAGGATCAGAGTTGGGGAAAATTTGTCACATCAGACAGTGAAACTCTCTTTTGTGCGAACATAGTCATGAACAGTTTACAATTTCAATAAGTAGTGGCCAAGAAAAACAAACAGTTTGGACCAATAATTGAATTGCAAAGGCTAAACTTTTTTCACCATTTTAGAAAATATTATCCAGCACACGTGAGCTTAACATACAGTTATATTTAAGCACTAAACAAAATGCATTTACTTGATTGAGTTAGACTCAAATGTTGGCTATTTACTACTGAACTGAATAGGTCAAAATGGACGATTCTCCAGTTTTTACAAACCATGGACTACTCATTATTGCTATTTTATTTCTATGGACAATATTTTAATGTTCAAAATTCACACATTTCTTCAGTGCTGCCACAGGCTGCCCACGTTGCCTTGTTAACACTAACTTGCCAGTAAAAACATCACAGAATCTCCCTCACAGGCGTTTAGGTCAAGTGGGAATGTGAGGGATTAGATCTCAACTCCCAGAGAAGACACGGGGATAGTGAAAGATTAGCTGTCATCCTTCAAATGATCAGAGCAGACACACATACCAACTGTTCTTCTCTGTTCCGAACACCGAGCACCCATTTCAAACTCTGCTTCCATTTGTTCTCAGACCAATTATATTTGTTATAAACTGCAATATTTTGTAGAGTTCACGAGGCCCCAGAGCAGATAGGGGAGAAAAGGTGTCACTACTTATGAAAGAAAAGTGGTAAACGTCTAAGCTGTAGTTATCTGCCAAACTACCATCAACTAGAACCACCACACATTTTGTCCTTTTGTGTCCAAAACCAACACTTCAGAAAACCAGCAACTGTTACACACCAGCCAGTTTTGGGAAAAGTCAACTCATCTGCTGTGGATCGCATGAAGATAAAATTGCACTTTCATCACTTAAATAAAGCAAGTTCCTAATTAAACAAATATTTTTCCATCTGAATGTGGAGATTAGCCTGAGCCAGTCAAACACAGAGGCTGGGCAAGAAAAAGAAATGTAGATAAAAGCAGAAAAAACGGATTTCACACACACACACACACATACACAGGTAATCACTTACATGCGTTGGTGACAGCAAAGCTGTTGGCAGTCTCTATGTTGTCGACATGTGGAACCAGGTTAAAAGGAGCTTCTGTAGCGTTCGGGCTGGTGTTGTGGAGGAAGATAGCCAGTCGGAATGCTGTGTACTCCTGATCTGTATTCCTAATGAACAGTCCACCTAGCAAGAGGGACATAGAAGAGGTGAAGGACAAAGATGGAGTGAAGGGGAAGTGAGTTATAGCAGGGTGGAGAGGGGGTTGAGTGGGGACGTGGTAAGACATTGAGAGGCAGGGAGAAATGAGGAAAGAAAAGATGGATGAGGAGGGCAGAGAAAAACAGAGGAATGGACAGGGAGAAGAAAGCCAATGTCTTCATTAGCTTTGTTACAAAAGGTAATCTGCCTTTTTGGCACATTTTCAATCTTTGTCTCATGCACAGACATGAATACAAACACACTTCGCAATGCTCACACTGCTCATTTCATTGATGAAATCTGAAAAAGGCAGAAAGATAGAAAGAAACAGGAAAGGCTAATAAGTCTGAAAGGCCATGGTAAAAAAAAAAAAGAAGGGGAAGACCAGATGAGAGAGGGCATTTTATAGAATGACGGGAAGGACCCATCCAAAGGAGGCGGAGTAAGGCAATTGCAGTTTTTATGAGTTTCGAAAATGAGAAAACCCTTCTCCCCAATGAGACATTGGTCACACTAAAGTTAATACAAATGAGAAAACAAATAAAAAGTGGTGAAGAATTGAGGGAAAGTGATAGATTGCACACTGCCTCTGCTTAAAATGAAGAGCATAAACAACCAGATGTCATTTTGGGATCATGTTCTCCTTTCATCTAATCTCAAATAACATGTTCTGGCTTTAAAGAGGCTGCGCCCATAACCTCTCCCAGATAAGACACTGATACCATAACGATCTCCAGTAACTGCTAACAACTGAGACATAATCAGAGAGAAACAAGCTAATGATAACAGGCAAAGTGATTTTGTAACTAAGGAAAACCATTAACAATGACAACTCATTCTGAGGATCGGTGATGAGTGTTGGAGGTGGGTCAGTGAGAGAAGATAAAATGGCCATTGTCAATATATTGACCACACTTAGATGATATGGAACAAGCTTCTGGGAATCTATCTCCTCCATAACATTTGTTCACCAAACACAAAGATCCTCAGATCTGAGTTGTATTTTCTGCATGAAAGCATTTTGACTCGTATGTGATCTGAACTTGAAGCTTCAAGTGTTCACTTAGTTTTGCTCCCTGAAACCTGTTTCCCAAAAATTCAGGGTGCCAATAAATCATGAGTGCATACACGTTGCTGAACCTAGATGTCAGGTGAGCAGATGATGAATGTGAGCAGCATCATAGCACACAAGGCTTTCAATGAAAGGAAAAAAAAGCTCAGACATTCAATGATACATCAAGAGACATCTTACTTGGTGGGAGGCTGATAAACTAAATGTGATGAGACTTGGAAATCTTCTGTCAAAAGAGACTTAAGCTGGTATATATTGATCAGAATTTGCTTTAATGTTCTCAGTGGTTATTTTTTTAGCTGTTATAGTGCATTAGCTTGTTTCAAATCACATGGCGAGGATTCTTCAAGTCTTAAAGATTTGGCTAAATTAGACTCCGTTGAGTTAAGTTGGATTACAGTGGCACACTGTGGAGTCCTCACATCACTCTGTGAGACAGATAAAAAGTGGGGTGGGAGGTTGGGTGATGGGAGGAGTTGAAAGGCAGAGCATTTTGAATGAACTTCTTGTCCCCTCACAACAGGGACAGTCATCCATGTGTCAATATGTGTCTAATTCAGGCTTAAAGGTCACTCCCTCTTCTTTGAATGTTGTTGCTTTAGCCAAAAGATGGGTTGTACATTAAGAATATGCATGTGCTCACAGACCTTAAAACTGTGTTGTGTGTAGGTTACGTGCAAAGCCTGCCTCATTATATTAAAACAACAATCCCTGCCAAATCTGACGGCAGACAATTACACATCTCTTTTGTTTTTATTCATAATTAGCCAGCAAGAGATAACATTATCATTATGCGGTGTTAGGAAAAGACAGGCGAGCGCATTCATACGCACACATACGTGCTTCAGCTCAATGACAAATGTAGATGTGGTGGGAAATGACAGGTTATTGCACCAGTTTCCCAAAGAGAAATCTCTGTTTTTCTCTGTTACCTGCGCGCACGTGTTGAATTAAAACTGTCTGCTTCTGCTGACGTTACACTGGTGCGCAGTGCAGAGATCAGCAGGTGAGTCTCCAAGTGAAGTGGACGGCCAGAGGAAACATCATGTATGTGTAAATTGGTGCTTTTACAAAGGGATGGCATTTGGGTGAGAAGGAGAGAGATAGTGCCTTGTGCAGTATGGATGTGCAATGCAGGACTGTTTGCTCTGGGTATGCATCTATGTGCATGCATTGATGCGGAATGCTAAACTGTGGCAACCATGTGTGTGCATTTTGTGAATGCATGTGCACGCTGCACACGCACGTTCACACGCCTATACATCAGTACAAGTGTGTGCGCGTGGCAACTGGAGGGGAATATTTAGCGCATTAAGTTTATTGGCAGCTGTGGGGAGACAGAGTCAAGGAGCCGAATCTCATTATAGGACCTCCGAACTGCCCCCCCACGAGGAGTGATGCAGTGCATTCATTATCACACGCAAGCCCGCTCCAGTGTGTGTATGTGCCAGGGAGAAACGGAAAAGACTGCATGTGTGCTCCCCCCTTTGCTCTGAGCACACCAGTGATGATCCAGCCTGAGTTAACTTTATCTCATGAAGGCTGAAATAGGCTTACCCCGCACTAACATGGGCTGAATGGAAAAGGGCAGGCGAAGCGACAGAGAGAGAATGCTGCAGTGTCTAAACAAGAAGACTAGAAAGGAACAAAGCTCCTTGAAACATTCATGAACCTACAACAGCTTTTAGAATACAAGCAAACACAGTAAAAGGACAAGCAGAGTGGCTGTGGCCGTGCGCATTTATGAGCCATGTTAGTCAGAACTAAGGAGCAGAATATCTTAGTTTCTGGAATAAAAAAAATACTAATGCAAACAGAAATGAAATGATGCAATGTTGAGAATGTGCTTCTCTGATTTGGTCTTCTTCTGTATCAGTATCATACGAGAAAATACTTGCGTTCTTTTGGTTTCTCGAGGTTACTGTCGCCCGCCAAAAAACCGCTCATATTCAGTGTATTCTGTCAGATCTAAGTGCCCGTGCGTAAAATCAGAAAAACGTCCAACTCACCTATCTGCACTGAGCTGGGGAAAGCCCCTGCCGCCAACCCCCAAAGGGCGGAATACACCCAAAGAAAGTGCCAAGAAAATATGATAATCCTCATTTTTCTCTCTTTCCTTCAATCCTTTCAGAAACTGTTCGGGGACATCAAGAAAGAGGAGAAGATGCGCAAAAGAGAAAGAAGCGTCAGAAGAAGACAAAATAAGAGGATGAGTTTTTTTTTTTCCCCCCCGGCAAGTGGTATTCCTATTCCATGGTGAGTTCGACCGTTGGTTCCCCTGAAGTGTCCGCTCTGGAGAAGGCAGGGTGTCCGGTGCACATGGAAAGGCGCGGAGGAGTGGGGGAAACTCGCTGGAACGATTGGCGAGCTGTGAGAACAGGCTGCATGGGAGAAGTGGACATGCGCGCCCCGTCTCTATCTCTCTTTCTCTCCCACACACCCTCCCCTTCTCCCTCTTTCTGTCTCTCTCGGTAAAATGGTCTGCCTCTCTCTGAGCCCTTCTCCGCCTTTACATCTTCTACTTTGCCTCTTCTTGCCTGCTCTCTTAAACACCGCCTCTTGATAAGGTCTTATCGGGCTACGTGTGAGAAAAGAGAATCCCCGCGAATGTGCGTGCGTGTTTACGCGCAGTCTTCCGCGGTTTAGCTTCCTTTAACAGCATTTAACAGACAAAATTTCATTTCTAATTGTCACGAATCCCTCATGTGTAAGTAGATACATTTGTGTTTGCGCAGGAGAGAGAAAAACTAAGTGTTCCGAGTGAAAATGACAAGTGGAAAATGACTCCATTTGATTTATTGTGCTTTGATCGGCGAGGCAGAGTAAAGTGAGATTGAGTAATACAGAGTTTGTGCTTGTGCCAAACTAATTGCATTGCAAATCCAATTCATTCTATGCAGAGGATGTCTGTCAAAGCATTATCTGTATGTACTACCAAGGCAGGCGCCTTCAAGCCAGGAGAATAACTAAAAAATCTCCATTATTACAACCGCATGACTTTATGTGCGCAAACAGCTGGCCTCCAAAGGGGTAAAAAAAAAAAAAGATTCAGGTATGTGAAAGATGGCAAGATAATTCAGCAATTGCCTGACATAACGAGATGTTTTAAGTAGCTTTAAGTAAGGCAATAAAAGAATCATAGACAGGAGTACAGTACATTATGTTACAGCCGTGTCCAATTCAGGGTCGTTTATCCAGCCTGCCTTTAGCAGGTCGGTAAAACTGACAGACGGTGTGGGATTGTGCGGTCTCACGTTGGAGAGCACAGTTTTATTTTTCCATATGGCAAAAAATGAAAGGTGTGCTTCGCGGACTGTCCCAGAGAAAGATGCAACGCGCAACGTGTCTCTGAAGGGTTTTCCTGCTCGGCAGCGGAACAAAGAATTACATCAGTTTTCTGGCAAAACATGAAGCATGTCAACAGATTATGCACCATACCTTTCACACTTAATATACGTCTAGGCCGAGATGTTCCTCATTCATAATCCAAAACCACTAAAACGATTAACCTTAATTTTTGATTTGGTGAAAAACAAGAGGAAGAAAAAAAACAAAAGAAAAGAAAACGCTAAATGATCAAGCCTTTAATTAGCAGGCCCTGCATTGATCGGTGCCTGCTAGCTTTTGCTCTTAAGAAAATGTCACGGGTCGACATACATTGAAAAAGCTGGAAAAAGAACACAGTATTTAATCCTTTTTTCACTCATGACTCTAGCTATCTCCTCCTCCCTCCACTTGGACTGAAGAGCTCTGTCCATGGTGCTGAAGTCCACGCTCATGTCACAGACTGAAGGAGCTGAGAGGAGCTTTAAGGCTTTAACGCCATATTCTGCTTAAAATAAGGCATCTGCAGAAAATAAGGAAAAACATACGAACCCCAATAAAGTCCCTTCACTCAGAGAAACGCTGTGGAAATCAGTCAAATCAGAGTATAATAAAGGTTTTCTGGAATCTTAATTTACCCAATTTTCGTCAGACATGCAGTATAATTTCGCCCTCACTTTTTGATGGGCATCAAAGAAAAACTGATTTTTTTCCCATTTCTGGAGCAAACACGGCGACACATTTCAGGATGGATCTGCCCATGCTCATCGAGTAATCTGTTGTACAATTACAGTTGCATACTGTTCCGTTGGAAGCCTTTCACCTGGTCATGACGTAATTACAAAAGGAACAGAATGCAGCAGCATTAGATAGTCTGCAGCTACAACCATCCTCTGTGTTGTTTTGCACAGCAGCCTGTTCGAAGGAGTTTGCAGGATGCGGTGCAAAAAAAAACTAATTTCAACTGACTGCTAAAACCTTTCTGGGGAGACCAGGGTTATGCCATCTGTATAATAATTTGTTTGACTGAGTACTTGATGGTAATGAGTCATAGTTTATTTTTAGCCCACATTCCTTATATATGTAACATTATGAAGAACATACCATGAACGGTAGGGAGTTTATTGATTCAAAAATACTCACTGAATCTGGTAATGAGTTGTGACTTGCAACTTTTTTCATGCTTGTGTAGTCCAACTTGGAACCTTACAGTGAGTGAACTATATATGGGAAGTAAATTGTGCTGAGGATTATGGCAAGGTTACACAGCCAATTATTTTTCTTATTACATTACATAAGCACAATGAACATAGCCAGCAGTGCTAGCACACCTTTATTTCCCTATCTGTTTGCATGATTACGCTCACACTTGTACCCACACACAAATCCCTTCCGTTTACTTTCAGGAGACTTGTTGGTTGTGTAGAGGAAACTGCGAAAATGAAATTTGCCACCAGTCTTCCTGCAACACAAATCCTAACATGCAGCTTTTGCCTTCGTCAGTCATTTTTTAAAAGAGGTCATGAAAAAGAAAACCTATCGAGAGAGATACTTTTATGGTTGTGAGAACATACTATCATGGACTATAAGGCATTGCACACTCCTGCTTGTGGGATGAGGGCTCACATTCTGAACACAAATTAATCAGATAACACAATCTTCAGTGGAAACGCTTCTTAAGGACAGATATAAAGATAAATAATGAATAAAAATTAAGATAATTTCTACCCACAGCAACAGCCTTACAAAATGACTCAATACAACAATTATTTAAAATATAACAATTGTTCAAAATGGGACTGAAAACAAGAATAGATTCCTGACTTGTGACTGTCAAAATAAGGTGTTTTTCTATCCTTTTTCATTAGTTTTTCTGAAAGTAATATCCCTTAAAAAACTCTTAAAAAATCTCAAATTAAGCTTCACTTAGATTTAAGGATGGGCTGATCCAGTTTGGTAGCCTGCAGTCAAGGTTTCTGAGACCTAATATTCTTACTCTCTTATGAACATTGTAAAACGTGAACAGAAAACCCTTTTTATCTGTTCGTGTTTTATTATATCTGATAGCTTGTTGGATTCAAGGAGGGTACTTCTTTTGAATTTAATTTCTTGGTCAAAGGTCGCTATGATTTGATTCAAGAAAAATCTCCACAAAGGCTCTGCGGCCCAACATTGTGTGCAGCGTGAGCAGAATGGTAGGTGAATTTGAGGTCTTTGAATATCAACTACACTGCAAACTGGCTCCTGAGATGTGAAGTATCAGGTCACTGGCAGGGAAGGAGCCTTAACTGGTGTGTGAGGTGGACTTGAACCAACATGATAAAAGTTGGGCCTCACTTCCATCCGCGGCATGGGCTCTGGAACCAAACTCCTGGAGAGGGGCTGGACATGGCCAACAGTCGTTTTTTTTGCAGTAAAGATAAAGTGAGATCCTTTAAAAACAGCGTCTTTATAACTAACAGGACCAGAGGCACTGATATTAGAAACAAACAAAAACTAAAATCTGAGTATTTGATGTCACTTACCTGTACATTTCAAACTAAAAGTACATTTTCATACAGAAAGAAGACAGAAACAAAGGGTCTCTGGCTCTACGTCTCTCTTCTGATCATCACAAGTAAATCTGGAAGGTCACTGCTGCAAATATCGCTTGGATTCCAATACCTTTCAGTAATCAATATATCTGTGTCAATATCTAAATCCCCTGGCCTCCAGGCATCTGTTTGCCTTCCAGATTGACACAGTTACTTAGTTCACAGTCAATATAGCCCCTTCATAATGAAGACTCATCAACAGATAGTCCTCCAGGAAGCTGCTAATATGCTGACTCAAACCATTATTGAGGTAAATCAACCCAGTATAAGACAGGTTGATTTTTTCTACCTTTTATTGGACCTTTTTTTGGTTATGCCGTTGTGAGCTGCAAAATGTTCTAAATCAAATGTACACCTAAGACCTAAATAGAGGAGTCTCATTCCAAATCTCACCTGGCCACAAAAAGAACACATCGCCAATAATCTACAGCAAATTGAAGGGAAACGTTTTGGTCAATCAATTAGTTTTTCTGTGTATCGAGTGTGTTCTATACAGCACACTCATGATGACTCATCAATCCAAATGTCCTTTTCCTCATTCTCTTCAACCCTGTTTCTCCACTCTTCACCATTCTTCTGCCTCATCCTTCCCCTTAGCCATGCACCCTATAATTTATCCTCTTACCTATATCCCTCTAACTTTCCATCCCTCCTTCAACCTTTCTCCTCTCCAGCATGTCATTAGGGTAATATCAGAATTGACCAGCTTTTTTGTACTCCTCCACTCTTTTGATCCTCTTTTGCCCTACAGTATTTTTTACCTCCAATATAACTGTCCTGAGTGAGGTCATCCCCTTTCAGATTGTTTAGCTAAGCAACATTACTTTTTAGCATACCCTCACCCTTCTTTTTGACACTCCACCCAACAAATATGGTGCATCGTATTGGAAATTGACAAAAGCAAGATTACCACATGCCTTTCAACTGATGGTGTCATACCCTGAGTTTGGAGCTGTGGACTCATTGCATTACTCTAAGTAAAGTGAGGATCAATGTGAGTCAATGGCGGCTGGTGAACAGTGCATTTACAACACGCTGCAGCTATTTGTTGAGCCCCCGCGACTTCAGGCTGATTTCTTTATTGAAGAGATGGATATGCAGTAATGTATAAAGGGCCATGGGCATTGTTTTTCTCATTATTATGTAAATGCATGCTCCTCCATGCTGTTCGAGAACACTTTCAAT